AATATTTTAAATGTTAATTATTGTAATATTTTAATATTTAATAAGAATTTTATTGTGATTAGACGGACAAGATTTAAATAATATATATTTATTATATCACAATATGACGCAACTTTACCATCTCATGATTAGTAAGTGTTTATGATAATGAGTTGTAATAAGATTTATAACTTATTAAAGAACGCTATAGAATCAAGTTAAGTTAAAATAATTTACAGTTTCATTCAACCCATAATCAATATAGAACTTTAACACGCAAATTTAAATAAAGATTACAAAAAAAAAAACTGTATCGAATTCTAATTAACGTGAATTTTATACATTTGATCTACGTAGTTCGAAACTTCTACATATGGTTAATGAGAATTGAAGGCAGGAATATCAGTAACTGTGTTTTTATGTAGATGGCGGAAATTACATATTAAAATCCCAGCAAAATGATTGATTCCCGTAGGCCACATTTGAAGTACTACATGAGTAATGACTGAAATTTTAAAATATTAATTTGGGATAACTTTATTTGTGTTTAATTTATTTTTGAACGATTATTTGTTACTTGCGAATGTATCGTCCGTATTTAGAGCTTTAAAACTTAATACGTCGTTCATATTTAAAAAAAACCCCAATAAAACCGCATCACCGGGAAACACAATTTGTTTTGGAGAAAAATACACATCGATTTATGTCGAGGAAATCTCAGATAGCCACTGAACTGTCTAAGCGCTGGGTGACAACAGTTCCAAATTCCAGTAGGGCAGGAACTTATTATTTTGTCTGACAACGAAATCACTCAAAATACTCTTAAATTCTACCTACATATCACAAATTACAGATCAGAATAAGTTTAAGTCCGGCCGTCCGAAATATCTGTATTACAAGCTGTAGTGGTTTAAACCCTAGTAAGAACGAGGTGTGAGGTAAATTATTTAATATCTTACGGCTGATTAGTTAACAGTTAAAAACTCAATAATTTCGAAAAGCGGGGAAATTAATTTCCTTTTCTAATATAATTATGGTAGGCCTATTTATAAAGTTAATCAAATTATATTGTACGATATTAATAGCCTCATTACAACCTTTCCTTCATTTTACCAGTAGGATGATGAAATAAATTAACACAGTACAGGCAAATACCATTTACAGAACATTCAATCTGCTTAACGTTGTCTGATTCTGTATCCCATTAAACAAACGAAAGTAGCCAACGAGATTACAGAACATTCGAGCAACATATCCAAATCAAGTCAGTCAAATCAATCAATCAACCAACCAATCCATGAGTGAGGAGTCACTGTAAGAATTGCAGTCAATTATCCTCTAGAACAAGAGTGGTAATAAATCTAGTGAAGGCCAGATTAAAGAGTACAGAGACAGAAGAGTGCATTTTTTTTTGAAATTTGTGTCTGCTTACAGAGTCACTCTTACTCGTATCGTGAACTGTTCCATAAGATCCCTGCAACAGAACGAAACCAGCGTGATGTGACGTCATCTTCAACAGTGCTGCAAGAATATATTCTCGTGGACGGCGATGCGGACACGGAGTATTGATTTAATGCTTTTAATATAAAATTTAAACATTCTACAATAAAAATTAATACCCGTAACGCGTGTTGTAACCAGATGAACCGGATTTTCTACTGCATGAAGAAATATCTGTCACAACTGCTTCAATTTTCAAGAACAAGGTGTCTAACACACGTTATAATGTGTATAAGATTCAAAATTTTACATTAGTAAAATTATAAAAGTACTGAAAACAACGTAAATGTTTTGCGATTTTAAATAATCTTATTGAGATACACAGAATGTTTTATATATTAAATTATAAAAAAAATTCTTTAGTTAAATTTGTAACTACTAAATTTACTGTTAACTGAGCAATTGGACAATATTATTTTTGTACTAGAACTATATAAAAATACATGGACAAACACTAACTTTTATCCGCAAATTTATTACTCGACTGCAATATTACAAATTTGCAAAAATATTAACTGAAACTAGAATCTTGTATGGCTCCTACATTAAAACCTATCCAGTACGAAAAAAAAAAAATATATATTTATTTTATTTCAGAAATTTTTATAGTATCCGCCAAAGAACATAAAATAATAAAATTGTATCAAAATAAAAATCTAAGCCAAACTGTGATACAATTTACTTATTATTGTTAACTTTAACATAAAACACACAATGGCCACTAAACTAGACAGACATCAACTATATAACACGATTAGTGAAATTTAAAACATAGCCTACCTGTGGATTTTATAGTGTTCAATGGGGTAGCGTGTCTCTTGGCTTCTATTTATTCCTTCAGAAATAAGTTAATGATACATAACGTTCCACAAAGACGTTTCGGCGACAGGCAAACTAATCGAATGCACATTGTGTCGTAATATGGAATTAAACAAAATAAACTCTTAAACATTTGAGCACAAAATGGAATCTCATGAACGAATTATAACTTTTATATTATACACGTGGGATCTGAGCTTTTATCTAAGGATAACATTAAACTGGGAACTAGTTAAATTTCTAGGTTTCCATTTTTTAATGTTGGAACCTAAAAAAAAAAACCTCCTCGTGTGACAACAATAACCATCAAGAACAACAGTTAATAAAGAGATTGTGCGTCATGACAATTGTTAACCAGATGTAGAAGGCAGTGGTTTACGGTTAAGTCATGCAGACAACGAGGTCGAAAATTTCTTAACAGGGATACAACAGCAAATGTTAAAATTTATGTATAACACACACAGTCTTACACAGTATCTCATTATTGTTATTAATAAAACCGAAAATCTCGTAAAAATATTATAATGGAAAATTTACGCATAACACACGATCGTGAACAATACATTTTACCTATAAATTTTGTGTTAAATACTGTTTACAAATCAAGAACTTAAAACATGGCAAAAGACTCTGATATTATTCCCCAAAAATTTAATTTTATTACCAGAAAATAAAATAAATAAATAACACTGAGTCTAACATTAATTATATAAGTTTCCAATCAAAATGCTCTATCTTCTTATATATTAAAATACGTGATTTGTCGTCGTCAAATTGAAATCTCGGAGTATGGTTAATCACAGTGTTGTTAAATCTGAGTTGGTTCCATTGAATTCATCGCTGGTTTCGTCCTTTGCCACGATAAGGGTAGATATGTACATTGGGACAACGGTACATACTATTTGGAAAACTGGCCTAAGAATTGTTTTGATTATTTACGAAATATTTCTTGCACAAGTTTACTGTACGTAAAATTAATAAAAAAAAAATAATTAGAAACCCGAGAACAATTCAGAAGAGAAATTATAAATAAGTTTTTTTTTCTGTGCATATGTACTATATTTATAATATAATGACGTGCTAAAATATAGTTACAAGAGTTGAAAATATAAGTTATTTGTTAACAGATCTATTTATGAATAAAAGTTCAACTTTAAGAACAAGAAGGATATAAATAAGATAAATTTTGGAAAAAATAAGGTATATACAGTTACAACAAATAAATACAACATATAATAATGATAATAATAATCAAAGCTCAATGTATAGCATTCGAAAGATATCAAAACACAACAAACAGAAAGCCCTTACATATAGGCTGGGCAGTAACGTAAAACAATAAATTGAACATTATTTGAGAAAGTAATTAGAAAATCGGTTAAATCTCATGCAACACAGAGCATAATAATCTGTAGGAAAAAAAATAACGTAAGAGAAGTAACACTTGATTTTTATAGCGATATATGTTATTATAAATTTGTGGATATCGAATATTTTTGTACAAACCTTTCCCTTATCTGCATGTCTCTTGTTTCACGCTGATGAAACTGTTGCGTTACGAGCTGAGCAAGGCATACAACACAGAAACGTAAAATTTTACGAAGAAAAAAGACTCACCTGGGGTAACTGATATTGGGCAACTGCTTGAGATAACAGCGCTGTCTGAGAATTCCTTCCCAGAGTTGAACGCCGACAATTCCGAAGATGAAGAACACGAAAAAGCAAAGCAGTAACACGTTCCCTAGCATCGGGAGTGTATCTAGTAACAGCATCACTAATATCCTCATACCTGAAACATAAGAAAATGTCTTTCATAATTCAGAAAATAATCGTCTTTCAACGTAATTACAATTTGCGTCATATTCACAAGCAGGTGTCTTTTTAAGTTTCTACTGAATTTAAAAATTATTTTCTGATAAAGCAATGGGAATAATATTAGGAATTATTTATTTATTATTTATTTAGTGTTCTGTCTGACGACAGGTCCATATGAACAGGATCCTTCCATCCTTTTCTCGGACTGGGACCTGTTCATATACGTTCTTGGCAGATGATCCAGAAGTGGTTTGCCATTGCCTTCTTCTGTGTGTGAATGGAGTAATTGTTGGGATGCCACGGAGGAAAACTCCGTGTTGCCTAGACCACGGCCTTGCCCAACACAAGTTATAAATTCGGGCACCGCCGGAAATCACTGGAGATAAATTAAGAAAAGGATGGACAAAAATATGGAAATTGGAGCTTCGTAATTTTTTACCTTAACATCAACTGGGTGATGTGATGGGCTGGACACAAAGCACACATGACAGAAATGATAAACGCGTACCACAAAATATTTTTTTTGTCAGAATGAAAGGAATCACGTTATAGATTCTTGCACAGATAAAAAGATTTTATTACAAGTTGGGAAATGTATACATGGCGTAACAATTCCGACTGTCACAGACATTTTATTTTGCGATCTTTACGAATACCGCCCATAACGTTGTCTGGGGGTCCATGACCTTTGCGAAGGAGGGGTGTCTGGCTGGATGATGTCTTCGCAACTGCGGATTCCCAATCCCAAGATAAAAATGGCAAACAAGTTACCCATCTAATTATGGTAATCAAAGTCACTCATCCTGAGATAAACTCACAAGTTATTTGTGTTCTTATGTGACGCCACTAAGACTATTCTTTGAAATGAATATCAAAATGGACTGACGATTTTTAGTAAAACATTCCAACATCGTTCTAAATCAAAATTGGAGCATTCTTCCTTGCATCCTTAAGCTGTATTATGCTCACGGAAAGACAGAAGGACAAAGCTATTTTAATTCGTTCTCGAACACCTGAGCGACAATGTCGTTTCCTCCAGGGGGACTCTACACCATGGGGTTAAAGCATTACTCAGTGTTTCAGGCAGTGAACGAATTATGAAGTTTCTCAATAATCATCATAGCACTACAAATTCATAAATGTTTTTTATAATAATTTTAAGAGTTCGAAACACGAAATTTCCGACTAGGAGTGAACATTAACGTAATATGGTAAAGACGAATGCAAATCTACTTTTTCATTGTATTGCCCGAAAACGGAATATGCGTACTGTGAGATAAAGATAAGGATACGGAGACAGAATAAGAAGAAGATACGGGATTATTGAATTGAACAGAGCGGAGAATGGAGTACGCGCTGACAGAGTAGAGCTCACGTGACAGACAGCACTGCATTGTACGTGTGTGCTCTCTGATCTCCGAATGTTCCAATACAGAAAATTAAGTCTACTATACAATAAAACGAAAATCCACCCAAAATACCCTTCTTCGTACAATTCAGTCTGGATATAAATGCGAAAGAATATAAAGGAGTACTAAATATAATTACATTATTAAAAAATAACGCTTGTAAAATATCTTTCAGTAGATTTTCTTATAGAAGGATCTGACGTAAAATATTTCTTATCCATTAACTAACGTTCTTATGTCAGAACAAATATATAACAGCCTATATTATACGTAAGTCAAAAGTAAAGTTTGTCCCACTACACGCCATGTAGGCGCTTGGGGTGAGAGGAGGTAGAGCTCCTCTCTTCCTTGACCTCGGCACTAGATGGGGGTGAGTGGTCAGCATCACGCCCCGGCCGGCTTTACCCCCGGGAAAGGACCACGGTGCCCATTGTAGAGGAGGCTGGGTGGGCCCCAGAGCCGGTCTGGACGCAGAGTCTAGAGGAAAAAAAAATCCTCTGCCCCCGTCGGGGATCGAACCCCGGTCGTCCAGCCCGTAGCTAGTCACTATACTGACTGAGCTATCCCGGCTCATCTATATTATATGTACCTGTTTAATTTTAACAATTTGTTTAATTACGCTGTAATACATTTCTTATCGTTTATTTAGGCTATTTGTTTAGACAATTATGACCAAATTTTAATACGATCCCCTTAATATAAGAGCAGGACCATGGACATGTTAATTATGTATACAATATAAGCTCTTGATAAAGGGTAACAACTTATAAATCAATGTTACTCTAAGACACACAGAGGAGTCGATGCACACAATCAAAGATTTTTAATCCCATTAATAACAAGGAGTACAATTTTGGGAGGATAACAAAGCAGGTCGAGCCTCTGTCGGCAGATTTAAACAGGTCTAATCTAACCTACAATAAAAGTTAATAATATTTAAACTGTTGAGAGATTTATATCATCGATTAAAGTGAAAGTTAACGACGGACTTACGCAAAGAATTTTGCTACGCCACTGAATAAATAGCATTCTCTTTGCCAAGTTCATTCTGAGGAATGAAATTGAGCCAAGAAACGCAAAACCATCTGTGATTGATGGCGCTGGTTTCAAGAGAGTTTCGGCGTTGCGTGGCTGACGAATGACGCAATCAATTTCGAAGTTTCTGTGTATCCTATGAACCCTGACTCAAATTCCCTTTCCTTGCTTTGAGTCTGTATAATTCTTTATACAGCTCTTATAAAGGTATAACCTCAAAATCCGTATGAGTTTTCTGTGGTGCTCGCTCAGATGGATTACACTTCTAAACCCTTGTTCTGTGCTGCACCAATCCTGTGTATTTTGGAATGAGATGGCATGAAAAGAGGCTAGCGGATGTAATTATTACTACCTCTTCTCGCAATGTAATGACGACAATTATGTAAAAATATAACAGACAAAGGAATATCTATCATTAGAGTAGCTAATAACAGATAAAATGATATTTAATTTTAGTAAATGCTATCTTCTGTGAATTTATTAAATATCAATATTTGGCGCAGAGTACAAATTGTGCAGTTCAGAACTCCTACTTACGTAATTTTCTACACCATCCTTAATTTAAACTTTAACTTAAAATATAAAGCATTTTTTAACAACTTTTACTTCACAAAACAAACCTTAGTGTTAAAATATCACATCATTAACTTTACTGGCATCCGTTACATTTTCACATTTAAAATATTAAATATCAGAAATAACTTTACAACAAATTTCGCTTCAAATTAAAACTTAAAAACCCGAAATCGGTTTTCATAAATTAAGTATCGATATTTATTCTGTGCGAGATATATCGACTACGAATTCACGACTCGGTTTCAGGAACCCCTTTTGTAGAAACTGTGTACGCTGAGTGGAGTATTAATACGGATTAAGATAGGAAAAACTTTGCATTGTCCAGTGTAGTCGCATATGAATGCGTATTCAAGTTATCTACCGCATTCCATCATGCATATTATTAGCCAAGTTTGTTTCACTATTTATAATCCTACACATTAACTAATCCGTTGCTCTCCCTTTTATTGAGAGTGCAGGGGAGAGAACGGAAATCACAGTTGGCAGTTGGAATTTTGTGCACCGGAGGAAAACAGAAATTCTACAGTGGCAGAAGACGACTGTGTGTTTGAGAGAGGTAAAAGTGGGAGTGAGAGGATTTGAGAGCTGGTGGTAAGTAAAACCTAAGTCCCACTACTGAACTTCACTATTCTCCAACTTTTTACATTTCGCTTGTCACTAAGACTGGAATGGTAAGGGTGGAGTTCGCATCTTTGTCTAAAAGACTTCGCGTATTTTTATCTCTTTCTTTTATTCTTAGAATATCCAATCCACGAGAGTCTGCATCCACGCACCAATGACCCAATGCACATCGGAAACTGCAAATCTAAGAACGAAAACGCTACTTCCCCGTAAGTTTGCTTTAACGCAATTAATACAGACCAAACTCGGCTAATAAATAATCTTCCACAAAGAGATAACAGGACAGTCACAGCAATTTTATGTCCAGCACTAATATTTTTTGGAGATAGTAATTAAATGTTGTATTCAATGTAACTAATTAACTCTTCAAAGCTGGATGGTAACTATATGTACCAGCTGTTTAACAAACAGTTACCAACTGATATTTTTAATGGTGAACTGTTGTGTTTCCTTTACGGTACGGGCTGAATTCCTAAATATTATTCAGATTAGTTTTGGTTTTAAAGGTTAAATTATTAAACTACATACAGTAGACTCTTTCTTTAGAAATTGAAAGCAGGAATTTAAAAAAAAAAGACCCCTATAGAGAACCGGTTGAATGTAATCCACACATTCACGCTACGTGTCTTAAGACCTTACGAACTCGTCTCTCCATATACTCACACGAAAATGTATATATTACAAGGCGCATCCACAAAGTAAGTTTCCCACTCGTCCCACAGCTAGCAAACCTTATATTGCGCGAAGCGACTGTGCGTACGTGATAGAGCAATGACGTAGCATGGCGCATGCACTAACGGCACTTCCCGCGTTCTCACAGTAGCATCGTTGCAGCTGTTGAAGATGGAGGTTCTTATTCCAGCCCCCGCCGACTGTGAAGTGCGGTCAGTGATAACGCTAGGCCGCACACGACTCGACGGACAGCAAGTCTCCTGCAGAAGTTCAGCTGGGAGGTGTTTAATCATCCACCCTACAGCCCGGACCTCGCTCCCAGTGATTTCCATCTTTTCCTACACCTCAAGAAATTCCTGTCCGGTCAGCGTCAGCGTCAGCGTTTTGAGAATGACAGAGAGGCGGAGATGGCTGTCACACAGTGGTTCCAATCCCAGGCGGCAGACTTCTACGACACAGGTATTCAAAAGTTGGTCCCACGGTATGACCAATGTCTCAATTCTGGTGGCGAATATGTTGAAAAATAGCTGGACACTTGCTGTATCTGTTGCAATAAATATTTCCATGAAATTGTGTTTTGTTTCTGTAAACGGCCCCAGGGAAACTTACTTTGTGGACGAGCCTCGTATCATCTTAAAAGAAGCAGATATGAGGGTGTGGA